ATGAGCCAACATTGTGACTAGAGAGGGGTTGAAAATCTCATTTGTTGTCTTCCTGTTGAAATTAGACCCAATTCTTTGGCGAAAGTGCTTACTCTTTTTTTTGTTGTTGTTGAGACGGAGTCTTGCTCTGTTGCCCAGGCTGGAGTGCAGTGGCACAATCTAGGCTCACTGCAAGCTCTGCCTCCCAGGTTCACGCCATTCTACTGCCTCAGCCTCCTGAGTAGCTGGGACTACAGGCGCCCACCACCACACCCAGCTAATTTTTTGTATTTTTTTTTTTTTTTTTTTAAATAGAGATGGGGTTTCACTCTGTTAGCCAGGATGGTCTCGATCTCCTGAACTCGTGATCCGCCCGCCTCGACCTCCCAAAGTGCTGGGATTACAAGCATGAGCCACCGCGCCCAACCCTACTTACTCATTTTTGAGGTCCATAATAAATTGTAAATGTGAGGCCTTTATTGTATGAGTTTAGTATGAGCTGATTGGTGCACCACAGTGGAACGGCAGAGGGAAATAGATGTTAACTAACAAGTAGAAGTCCCCTTCAAGTTCTGACCCTGTCACTAATGAAGTCTTTATTTCCGTATTTAGTAATTGCCTTTTTTTCTTTTTCTTTTTCTTTTTTCTTTTTTTTTTTTGAGACAGAGTCTTGCTCTGTCACCAGGCCAGAATACAGTGGCACAGTCTGGGCTCACTGCAACCTCTGCCTCCCAGGTTCAAGCAGTTCCCCTGCCTCCCAAGTAACTGGGACTACAGGTGCATGCTGCCACGCCCAGCTAATTTTTGTATTTTTAGTAGAGATGGGGTTTCACAATGTTAGCCAGGATGATCTCGATCTCCTGGCCTCATGATCTGCCCACCTCAGCCTCCCACAGTGCTGGGATTGCAGACGTGAGCCACCATGCCCTGCCAATTGCCTTCTTTATATCTCATTTAAACAATTTATAACAAAGAAGTGAGTTGATTTTCAAGACCTAGTTCAGTGTTACTTTGAATCAGATGCAAAAATTTGGCAAGTTTGGGGTCTAAGGAAAGATAAAGATCTGAATGCTGAAAATCTAGGGAATTCAGGTTACTGGGGGATGACTTAAGGTCACTAGAACCCAAACGCAGGGAAGAGTTGGGTGCTTTTTGGCAAATAAACATTCCTGACTTAGCATTTTTCTTAAACCTGAACAAGTCCGTTTTTGTTTTGTTTTGTTTTGTTTTGTTTTTTTAACCTCAGCCAGGCCTGCGTGTTTATTCATCACATATTCTAAGCTCATATACAACTGTGACCTGATCCAGCCTTCAAGGAGCTCACTCTTGATTTTAGGAATCTTTCCACCACTTCGATTTCATCTTACTCCTGAAAGAGTCAGCCAGAACTGTTTAATTCAGTCTATATTTCTGATACAACACTCTACCCAGCAACCACTGTGGTTTTGTTGCTTTAGGTACGTGTTAGAAAGCACCCACATCAATTTATAGAAAATCCTTAACTGAATCTCTAGTCCCAAAGGAGTCGTATTTTATTATATGGTGCTTTTTATTTAAAGAGATCGGTTTAATAGAAATTACCCAGGCATTTGAAGTGATAGCTTTAAAATGTGGGACTGGGGAGAATAAGAACACTTGACCTCTCTCCATAAAATTGAATTGTTCTTTAGGTTTAAAGTTTTGACAGACAAAGAGAAAGTGAGAGCAAGTGAGGGTGAAAATACATCCTTATTTGGTCATGAGTACCCATTAAGAGGACAGTATATTACATTTCATCTTCCTACTTCACACTCCTCTTTTAAGGATTTGTGAGCCAAGTGCTGTGAGACCTCTAGAGTTAAGAGGCTGGAGATAGGTAGTTTTGATGGTATTTTAAGGGGTGCTCCATAATGTGTAGCGTCTGAGTGATGAAGCTTAATCAGCTTCAATTAAATCCAAAACATACTGAACAGCTCCTATGTGTCTGGCATTGAGCTGTGTGCCAAAGCGGTGGGGAAGATGTAACAGCCACTGAGGCTTAGAGATGAAAAGGATCTTGGAGCCATTGGTTTCCTGCCTGCTGGAGTTTTACCATCAAGGACCCTTTCATTATTTTCCTTCTCCCATCCATGCATTTTATTAAAATTTTTGGTTTACTAAACCAAATTCACTAATGGGATGTTATTTTCATATCAAAGAGTATAATTCTGCCAATCAAGGCTTCTGATCAGCATTAAATAATTAGGTTTCAAAATGAATGCACAATTTCTAGTCAAAAGCAAAGACATTTGATGATATGTCTGCTGTGTTGCCATTTGCCTTGTGAGAGGTAAAGGTAGCGTGGTTTCTGTTCACTCTGTAGCACAGAATACATCATTCACAAGTCATACGTGTGTTCTTGTAGGCATCTAATTACTGTCAACCTCTCATTTCACACAGGTGATGTGATAAGGTGAAAAGATTACTATATTTAGACCCAAAAGTCCTGAGTTTGAGTCCTGGTTCTATTATCTAGTCCATGAGCCTCAGTTTTCTCACCTGTTAAATGGAAATGATGATTATCCCAACTGCATTTCCGGGTTGTTTTGAATGATAAATGATATGGTGTATATATCAGCTTTTTGCAAACCAGAAAAAGCTATTCTAGGGTAAACACATGCAATGGGCTGAATCGTGTCTCCCAAAATTTGTATGTTGACGTCCTCACCCCCAGGGCCTCAGAATGTGACTGTATTTGGATCTAGGGTCTTCCAGAGATAACTAAGTTAGAACGAGGTCATTTGGGTGGATCCTAATCCAACTGACTGATATCCTTCTAAGAAGAGGAAATATGGATACAGAAATACACAGGAGACAGGGAGAAGATGGTTGTCTACAAGCTAAGGAGAGAGGGAGGTCTCAGAAGAAACAAACCTGCCACCCCTTGAATTTGGACTTCTAGTCATCAGAACTGTGGGAAAATAAACTCGTTGTTTAAGCCAGGAGTCCTCAATCCCCGGGCCGTGTACCAGTTGGTGGCCTGTTAAGGACTGAGCTGCACAGCAGGAGGTGAGTGTGGGTGAGTGAGCATCACTGCCTGAGCTCCACCTCCCATCAGATCAGCAGTGGTATCAGATTCTCATAGGAGCACAAACCCTATTGTGAACTGCGCATGCGAGGGATCTAGGTTGCGCGCTCCTTACGAGAATCTAACTAATGCCTGCTGATCTGAGATCGAACAGTTTTCAGCCCAAACCATCCCCTCCACCACCCCCATGGTCTGTGGAAAAATTGTCTTCCACGAAACTGGTCCCTGGTGCCGAAAAGGTTAGGGACCACTGGTTGAAGCCACCCAGCCTGTGGCACTTTGTTATGGCAGCCCTGGCTAAGGAATACAACACATTTTAGACTATGATTTTACACGTGCAGTGTGTTGAGAGCCAAAGAACCCAAATGATTCGTGGTATCTGCCCTTGAAGAGTTTTCAATCTTTTTGGGCACGACGAAACATACACATGGGAAATAAGATAGCATATAACCAAGTGCCTAAATAAGTAATAAATACAGTTGACTCCATAAACATTTAGGAACCTTCTATCCCCCGTTTCCACATTCCATACCAGTGGCTTTTGCCACTATATTTCTTCACCCAATATTAGACTGATGTTTTCATCTTTTAGTATCAGACTCAAGCGTTAATCTAGAAAGAGGGGGTGGGGGAATAAATGCTATACTTTGGAACCAGTCCAGATATTTTAAGTATGTCTTTAAAAAGTTTAATCCTCACAACATAAAAGTTATTAGTTCTGTTTTTCAGGTGGGAAGAGTTAAAGTCAAAGAGACGAAAGCTAGTTAGTGGAGGGACTGGCATTCCAAGCCAAGCCCATTCTGGTTAAACTAAATCCTGTGTTCTTTCCACTAGAGAACTGCTTTTTGTCTTAATTACAATTCTGTGACAAGGATGTATAGTCAAGGAATATATACAATAGAAGAGGCATTTAAGTGGAGTTGAGGTTTGTGAATCTGAACTAGTTTCGATCGACTTTCACATCAGCAGCTCCTATTCTGGGGAGAGAGAATGGAGGATGGGAGTGATCTTGATAAACCTTAATGCGCAGGTTTGTGGAGAAATCAGATTCACACCCAAGCTTGTGGAGTGTGGGCAAGGCTGGCCTGTCACAATATCGGGACAGCCTCTCTTAATAACACTGCAGAAGGAATCAAGGGGCCTATGGTTTGCGGTCAGTGTGCCTCTTGTGCCAGCTTTGGCACTACAATGTCTTCAATCACATTATCTTCCAAACCGGCTCTTCATCCTATGTCCTTATTTCTGCTAATGGTATGCACTTCTCTTATTCATGCACTCTGGAAACCTTGGTGATATTAAAACCTGTCTCTTCTTTCCCCCTTGCTCTTCCACATTCAATTTCCTTTCAGCAGAATTACCAAGCCTTGACCATTTTTCATTTTTGGTGCTGTTTCGGAGTTGCTATAAACTTTGCCTGGGTCCTCTATCACCTTACCCTGCCATTTGTCATTCTGCCTGGTAAAGGGTTGAGCAGCTTTATCCATATGAATGATCTTATTTAAGCTATTCTGTACACCTTCTGCTACTTAAACAGGCCCTGTGCTTCCACATCTGCTCTCTATCTGCTTATCTGACTCAAACAAACTTCAATTGTCTATCTCAGACATCACTTCCTCCATGAAGCCCTCTTACGTTATCTAAAGTAATCTCTCTTCTGGGCTTTCATAGCATTACTGCTTGTAACTCTCTCAAAGAATGAATTTTGTGCTGTTCTTTAATGAGTACAAATTGAGCGATAAATTTGAAAAACTTGTGTCTGTGTTTGATAAATATGAAAATCTCATCATTTTCAATATTTCCTAGAATTTCAAAATGTACTAAACACTATTATTAAAAATCAATCATGGCAATTTTAACATCAAGTATTCTTTTTTGAAATATGCATGCTCTTCTCTCAAGACTGGTATACTTTCTCACTCTACTCCCTTTACAAATGCCCTGATCGAACTTTGCTGATGAAATTATCTTTTCTTAGTTTCTTAGACTTTGGATGGTGGAGACCTGTGCCTGCTACTTCTCTCATCTCCTGATACATAATGCATAGTGTTCAGTAAGTATTTATTTGGTGATAATAATATCAGAAACTAGATAAGCTAGTTTGGAAGATCTAGCTTCCAAACTAGATCCAACACCTTCCAAAATCTCTGTTAACCAGGTACTGAAATATGGTCAACCAGATGAGCTGAAATGTCAAGAACTTACAGACACATATGGTTTCATGGTTGTGAAACTAGAAGATGGGGCATATTTTACACAATGGAGGGAAGAGCAAAGGTTATGCATGTTGGAGGCAGAGCCCCTAGGCAGGTTTCCCTCTTTTCCTTCCTGTGCACCCATTTTTATTTTGGTGAACTGAAACAGGGGTCTAACAAACTGGCATCTCATTTGTCTTTATAAACATAACGGCCAGATTGGCTTTGCAATTGGGGGCTCTGTAGGGTGTCCACCTCCTCAGTTTGGGCAGCAGCATTTCATCTGAGTCTTAGCAGAATGAAAATGGAAAACAATGGCTCAACACATTGGTTTCTTTGTCACCATCCACATGAGGGATGTCTATGGTTTAAAAACAGACTCCAATGTTCAAGGTCCTGGGGCTGGAATCAAATCCATCATTCATTTATTTCGGTATTTTAAGGCTAAATACATAGGGAAGTAAATGAAATGTGAGAAAGCTATGCATTTGCAGTGTCATCTTGAAAGTGAGTATCTTCAGACACATAAAGTAGATGAGTGGTTAACTTGGGCTGGGAGAGGGAGTGAGGAGGAGGGAGTGAGAAGAGGGAGTGAGGAGGAGGGAGTGATGAGAGGGAGTGAGAAGAGGGAGTGAGACTGTACATGGCACAAGGTTTCTATTTAGTGTGATTGAAATGTTCTGTAATTTGATGATGATTGTATAGTTCTGTAAATAAACTAAAAATGTATTGAATTGTATAATTAAAACATGCAGAGTTTATATTTAAAATATACTTTGATAAAAGTGTTTTAAAAAATGAATATCTCGTAGGGTAGAATGAAATGAATAAGAGAAACAGTGAGGCATCCAGGGGTCTTTCTGCACAGTGGGTCTGTCGTTAGGCAGGTATATTGCCACAGCCAGTTCTAATGCCCACACTCATAGGCTGATGCCTAGGACAGTTGCTCAGATATCACCTCTGACATGCAAGTGTTCCATCTGTAACAGCAGGCATTGGAAGATGATGCCATTCCCTGCTGTTAGTATGATTATATTGACTTAGGTTTTTAATTTTCTTTCTCGCTGTTTTTTTTTTTTCACCTTCTTAGCCACTAAAGCATGAACATCTGTGTTTTTCAGCTGCCTTTTCAGAAGGCAATAAAAAGGGTTTGTTCGATTTCTCTCTTCTGGATTTTCTGGATTATCAACGCTCCTCACTGGCGTAACCAAACACAAACGTGAAACAACTTGGAAAGGATCATAAAATAAAAGATTTCAGTGTGTCTGCTGTGGACTGAACCGTATCCTCCCTCAACCCCCAAATTCATACATTGAAGCCCTAACCGCCAATGTGATTGTATCTGGAGACAGGGTCTTCAGGAGTTAATTAAACTCAAATGAGTTCTTAAGGGTGAGGCCCTAATCCAATAGGACTGTGACCTTATAAGGAGAAGAAGAGAGATTACCCCCTCCCACCACCACTGTAGGAGGACACAGCAAGAAGGCAGAGAGCCCTAACCAGGAACCTAGCACAGATGTACATTGATCTTGGACTTGCCAACTTCCAGAACTTTGAAATAGAAATTGTTGTGTAAGACACCCAGTCTGTGGTATTTTATGATGGCAGCCCAAGGGAACACAGTGTCCTTCCAGAAAAAGAACTATGTCCCTAAGTTGAGGGTATTCACTTCTCCATAATAATAGATGCTCTGAAACATTCATGCCAGTTTGCTCCTGTTGCAGAAATAAGGACAGGATTGTTTTCTTTTTGTTTTGTAGTGCCTCCCCAACTAACCTCCCTTAGGCTCTTCTCATTCATATAATCTCTCAAGCCAGACTGGGTAGAGTCATCCTTGTCTCTGTATATGTCATCCAAGTTATCTTTTCTCTATACCTCAGTCAGTCACTAGATGTGATTTGATTTTACTTCCTATATGATTCTTGTATCTGTTTTCTCATCTCATTTTTTATTCCCCATGCTTTTGTTCATTTCAACATCATCTCTCATATGAGTTATTATAATTACCTCTAAAATCTACTTTGGTAATACGTTTGCCTGTCAATAACTTCCGGTTACCTACAGAAATATGAGCTAATTCCAACGTCTGTCATGCTCTGTGTTAGTCCATTTTCACACTGCTATAAAGAACTGCCTGAGACTGGGTAATTTATAAAGTAAAAAGGTTTCATTGACTCACAGTTTTGCTTGGCTGGGGAGGCCTCAGGAAACTTGCAATCGTGGTGGAAGCGGCAGCGGGCACGTCTCACATGGCAGCAGGTGAGAGAGAGGGGGTGTGTGAGGGAACCACCACTTATAAAACCATCAGATCTCATGAGAACTCACTATCACAAGAACAGCATGGGGGGAACCGCCCCTATGATCCAATCACCTCTCACCAGGTCCCTTCCCTGACATGTGGGGATTACAATTCAGATTACAATTCTAGGTGAGATTGGGGTGGGGACACAGCCAAATCACATCACGTTCCAATACCTTGCTATGTCTTCAGACCTAATTCTACTCATTGCCCTTATATTAATCTCCATTACTGCTATACTTCTTGCAGGATATGAGCGCAGCATATGGCTTCATTCCTATGTGTCTTTGATAGGTCTTTTTTCTTCCTGAAACGTCTTCACTCCTGAATATGCTCATTCATTTTTCTGCACAGCTTAAATAGTATTTACGGCCAGGGTGGATTTATCTTTTAAACTGGGATACTTTTGAGAGTAAAAGTAAGCACTTGTTAATTATTGCTCCAGAACCACAGATGTAAACTGACATTATTTTAGGTAAATAGTAACAAATGGTTATCCTATTTGCAGCTAAAAGTTTATACTCTGCCTACTCTAGGAATCTATAACATGATCAGTAACACATCATAACTCCCCTTTTGTTTCGACATGGTCATGGTCATTTGCAAATAGCAGCTGAGAGGCTGACACGCTGTGCAGAACTCTAGCAGATTTACAGGGCTGAGGAGATTACAATTAAATTTCTGGTACCTCCAATATAAAGGGACCTGGAAAGACCCCAGGTTTTTGTCTGGAGCCTCAAAAAAGTTGCACAATAGAAAGAGAAGTGAAAAGAAAATAGAAGAGCATCTATAACAACCCCAGATTCAAACAGCAAAATACCTGATCAAACAAAAGTGATTTGCTTTAACTTAATGGAATATGTGAAGCAAAATTAAACCCAAATCTCAGAAAATGTCATCTAGAGTCTCAAATTATCTCTCCAGTTTTTTTTATTACAATGCCTTGCATGTAATAAAAAATAATTAGGCACACCAGAGAACTAGATAAATTGAACAAAAATGAGGAGAAATAATAAAAAAATAATAAAAGTAATCCCACAAGTCATCCAGATATTGCAGTTATCAGATGTGGGCTGATTAACATGTTTAAGAAATTTTGTGCTAAAATGAAGGATAGTAGCAGACAACTGAAAAAAAAAACTCAAATCAAGATCAGAATATCTGGATTTAATAGCCAATTAGACATAGCTTAACAGAGGACTGGAATTGTAGGTTTGTTTCTATTCCTTTTCTCTGAAAGTTAGAAAAAAAAAAAACTGGAAAATGATACAAATTTGTAAAAGAAGAAATATATGAAAAACAGTGAATTGGTCTAATATATGTGTAAGTAAAATTTTAGAAGCAGAGAAATGAAATGGTACAAAAACAATGTTAGAAAAGATGTTTAAGAATTAGCAAAAACTGATGAAACACTTCTAACCACAAATTCAAAAAGCCTTACAAACCCAATGTAGAAAAAACAGAAAACCAACGTAAGGCACACCATAATACAATACACAAAACAAAGGACAAAGATAAAATCTTAAAAGTATTCAGAGAGGACTTCTTGTTTCAGCCATAAATGAGTACCTCGTGTAACATTAACACTTTTGCCAAACACAACGAAAAGCTAGACAAATTTTAAAAAAAGGTCAAAGCCATTGGAGTATAGCTAATGCAAGAAGGATGTAAGGTGGCACAGTCACCGATGGAAGGGTAGCACATGAAGATGAGCTTCACGGTCACACTGACTTTTTCCTTAAGGGCTTTTTTCAGATCATGGCATTGGGGGAATAGTGTCTGAGCAGAAAACGATAGTATCATTGACTTAAGAAGACAGAGGTTGTAACTTGGGGCTGCCAAAATTGCTAGGACATGAAGGCCAATATCTAGAGAGGAAAAACTGTAATAAAATGAGGTCAAATGTTGCTATATCTATGTTGCACATGTACAAAATAAAATGAAAAAATCATGCCGAAAGCAGCAAAGATTTGAGTAGTTGTGACTGTTAGAGGGATAAATATTGGAGTTTCGAGATGGCTAAGGTGGATGGACCCTGGGAACTACCTCGGACTTTTGTCTGAGCATTGGGAAATGCCACATCTTAGGAGAAAGGTCTGTACCAAAGGGTAAGGGGAAAACCTACCTATAAACATAGAACAAATCTATCACAGGATCAGGGTGATGTACCTATACTCTCTCTGTCTGCCAGAGAAAAATTTTTTCTTTTCAGATGAAGGGGTCATTATCCAGAGCCTCAACATTTTTTATTCATAGATCTATTACCAAAAATTTTTAAATTGAGGCATGCTATATAATACGACCAAGGCAAGGCGTGGTGGCCCACAACTGTAATCCCAGCACTTTGGGAGGCTGAGACGGGCAGATCACTTGAGCTAAGGAGTTTGAGACCAGCCTGGCCAACATGGTGAAGTCCCATCTCTACTAAGAATATAAAAATTAGCCAGTGTGGTGGTGTGCACCTGTGATCCCAGCTACTTGGGAGGTGGAGGCAGGAGAATCAGTTGAACCCAGAGGTGGAGGTTGCAGTGAGCCAAGATCACGCCACTGTACTCTAGCCTGGGTGACAGAGCAAGACTCCATCAAAAAAAAAAAAAAAAAAAAAAAGAAAAGAAAAGAAAAGAAAAGAAAGAAAAGAAAGAGAAAAGGAAAAAGAAGCTGCCCCTAATGTGATTAAGATACTGAAGTCATCAGAGTCTTCAAAATAATTTTGAATAGTATATTCGAGAAAATAACAGGAAAAAGGGATATTTTCAGCAGATGTGAAATCTGTAAGAAGGAATCAAATTGAATTTTGGAACTGAAACATACATTATCTGAAATTAACAACTTAGTAGATTGTTTCTATGATCATGCAAAGGAAAACAGAGGATTAATGAACAGGAAGACAAGTCAATATAAAACGACCATATTGAAGCACTGAGAGGAGATATGGAAAATTAATCTAAACACTCATATGAAACAAAAATAATATTTAAATAGATACTGACCAAGAGTTTTCAAACTTATCAAAAGTGTTCAAGATACTCCATGAATTCTAAGCAAGAGTATTGACACCTAGGAGAAACTACATCTAGGCACTTCACAGTCAAATTGATTCTTTTTAAAAGTCAAAGAGGAAATTTAAAAACTACTGGAGTAAAAAGTTACATTAAAGGAAGCAACAATGATACTGATGAATCACTTTTCCACATAAATGAAGTGAGTCTCATCATTGTAGAATAAAATCTTTGAATTATGGAAAGAAATTATGTGGCAAACCATAATTCAATATCCAGGGAAAATATACTTCAAATGTGAAGGCAAAATGTAAACACATTCAGACAGAAGGTGAGAATTTTTCACCATCACAAATTCTATATTCTTCATATAGTAGGATATTGATCTGGAGGAAGCACAGAGATGCAGAAAGGAAAGCATAAAAATATGAATTAAAAAAACAAAATTGATTAATCCAAAATAAGGCCAGAAAGTTAAATAATGGAACACATAATAAATAAATAAAAACAAATGGCAAAAAGGTATATTTATCCAAATGTATTAGTAATTAAATATGAATGGATTAAATTCTCCAATGAGAAGACAAAGATTGACAGATTAGAATAAAACAATAAAAACTGGATATGCTGTTCACAAGGAAAAAATAATTTCCTTTTGTTTATTAAGGCCAATGAAAACTACTTTTAGTCTGATTTTATTTTTAAAAGTTTTGATGCTTTCTGAAAAAAATTAATCATTCAATGTATTTAAATATCTGACAATGTTGCAAATATCCAGTGCTTATATATTCAATCTAACATATGGCTAAAGTAAAATCTGTTTAAATCAGGAATTCTTAATATATTGTTAAAACTAATTAACAGATGCTATAGTGCTCATGGTGCCACTACATTGCTGGTCTGGAACTCCTGGTCTGAAGCAATCCTCCCGCCTCCACTTCCCAAAGTGCTGGGATTATAGGCATGAGCCACTGCGTCCAACCTCTTAAGGACTTTTTGATCCGGCTTCAGTTTCTGCTCCACTGTTGGTACAAACCTGCTTTTTAAAACCCTTTGGATCACATTGGTGCTGCATCAAAGCCTTCAGCCAACCTGGGAACTGACCAGGACTCTGTAAACTCCTTATGTAAATACCAGATCTGTTTTATGGGCGGGGCACCTGGCGTCTCCATTTACCTCCAAATTTGTTGATACCAGATTGCATTTTTCTGTCATTTCAGGGCACCAAGGAAGAGAACCAATGGCAGAAGTCACACGTGCAAGCAAGATGGGAGTCTGGAGAGCCTCAGGCTAAATCACAAGTGCTCAGCCCTCTTCTCTTTGTAAGGGCAACTGGGTCGTATCTGCCAGCTTAGAGCTGCTCTGTCCACAGCCCTAAAATTTAACACCTAGAAAAATCAATGCACTTAGCAAACTCTCTCAGCTGGTGATGAAACCTGTCACTAGTGAAGGGACTCGTCCCAAGGGAGCTGAACACCTGCCCCTGTACCCTGACAATGGATAAGAAACAAGCACCACTGTGGATGCAGCCCCAGAAGCCTAGTGTCAAGGGGGGCGCGAGGCCCTGCTTCAGACTGGGGGCCTGGGGAGGGGCTGGTACCTCTCCACTTCCTGCAGCTCCTGTTCCTCCGGCTCCTGGTGAAAATTCAGGTCTGACACCCACCAGGTCTCGAACCCACAGCAAACCACAAGGCTTCACATTCTGAGATACAGCTAGAAGAAGCTGGTATAATATACGGTCATGCACTACCTAACTACGTTTCCTCAACATGGGACTGCATATATGACAATGGTCTGTCCCATGAGATTATAATACAGCTGAAAAATTTCTATCACCTAGTGATATCATAGCCACAGTAATGTCAAGGCCCAAGGTATTACATGTCTGTGGTAATGCCGGTGTAAACAAACTTGCCACACCGCCAGTCATATGAGTGGAGCACAAACAATTATATAATACATAGTCCTTGATCGTAATACACAATTATATTACTGGTTTATGTATTTACTATAGTATACTTTTAATCATTATTTTAGAGTGTACTCCTTCTGCATATATGTGTCAACTATAAAACAACCTCAGGCAGGTCCTTCAGGAGGTATTCCAGAGGAAGGCAATGTAATCACAGATGACAGCTCTATGTGTGTTATTGGCCCTGAAGACCTTCTGCTGGGACAAGATGTGGAGGTAGAAGACAGTGATGTTGATGATCCTGACCCTGTGTAAGCCTAGGCAAATGCGTATGTGTGCTGTAGTCTTAATTTTTGCCAAAAAGTTTAAAAAGTAAAATAAAAATAGGACATTGCTTATGGAATAAGGATATAAGCTATTTTTGTACAGCTGTACATATGTTTGTGTTTTCAGCTGTGTTATTACATAAAGGTCAAACTTTGAAAATAAACAAGTTTATAAAGTAAAAAGATTGCAGTAAAGTACAGTAAGGCTAATTTATGGTTGAAGAAAAACATCTTAAAAATAAATTTAGTATAGCCTGAGTGTCCAGTGTTTCTGAAGTCTACAGTAGTGTAATGTCTTAGGCCTTCCCATTCACTTACCACTTACTCACTGACTCACCCAGAGCAAATTCCTGCCTTGCAAACTCCATGCATGGCAAGTGCCCTATACAGGTGTACCATTTTAATCTTTTATATCGTATTTTTATTGTACTTTAAACATATCTACGTTTATATGTTTAGATACACAGGTGTTTACCATTGTGCTACAATTGCCTACAGTATTCAGTACAGTAACACGCTGTACAGGTTTCTAGGAGTGATAGCCGGTACCATACGGACTAGGTGTGGTAGGTTGTACCATCTAGGTTTAAGTAAGCATACTCTGTCATGTTCCCACAACAACAGAATCGCTTAATGAAGCATTTCTCAGAACATATCCCCATGGTTAAGCAACCAATGACTGTATTTTCTGTCTACCTTTCACCTCCATAATATGTATATTTTTCTACATTTCTCATGGTAGAGGGAAAGAGCAACAGGACTTCCAGGAAAAAAACTAATGGGTCTTCAGGCTTCTGCTTGTATGTGGCTCATGTTATATCTGAGCGTATGCTATTGGACCAAGTGAGTCACATAGCCAAGGCTTACAATGGGATGGGGAAGCATACTTCATTTTCTTGAAGGCGCTCTAAGTCACATGGCATCGATGGGGTCATATTGTTCTTTTATAGTGAAGAGGGGAGTAAATAATAGAGGACAATAATACAGACTAGCAAAGATACTAAGACCACTTATATCCAAAAAGCAAGATCAGTTTGGTGGAATGACTTACTAATGCACTGAGATGCCCATATGCCCATATTCCCTGCCAAACAGTCTAAATGGAAAACTAGAATCCTAATTAAAGTGAGAAAAGGCATGTCACAAAGCTTCCTTTATTGTAGAGCAGTTGAGTTGTGGTGTTCGTTACTAGATTTTTTTAATTAGCATGGTGTTAGTTCTATATATGCCTTCTATTTATTAAGCACTTACTATGTGCCAAGCATAGTAGTAAACCTTTTTCTGACCTTATTTAAACCTACCAACAGTCTCAAGGTGGAACTATGTCTCTTCCCATTTACAGATGAGAATATTAAAGGACAGAATAACTAAGCAACTTGCCCAAAGTCACAGGTCCCTGCTCTTATCTGCTATATTTTCTTTCTCTCTTTTTCTTTTTCATGTAATACAGAAAGTCCATGATCATCACGATGCACCTCTACGTGGATGTCACAGGAATGGCAACTTACGACCTTATGAAGTAGTTTATCCTAATTTAGGGTAGCTCAAATACTACAACAAATATTTAATGGGCCTTTAATCCGCTACCCCTAAAATTTTTTCCAGTTGGTTCTAGTTTTATCTTATAGAGCTAAATGTATAGAAAATAATCCAAATAATCTTCCTTCAAGTAGAAGAAATCATCTTCTAGATTTTATCTTTCCCAATCTAAAAATACATTGTTGTTTCAACAATTCCATGAATAACATGGATTGTGGATTTTTATCATTGTGGTTACTTTTCTCTTGGACTGCCAGACATTTTAGTGTGGAACAAGAGCTGTCTGCAATAAAACATAATGAATGTTTATGCTAAATGTTTAAGCGTGGACAACTTCTATTCAACTGATATATCTCAGAACACAAAAGAGTACTTGCTGTTTCAGGAAATTTGGTTCCTTTCTCCTTCTCTGATCTCAATCGTTATATTGATAAATTTGACATATTCTGCTGAACAACAAATTCTGGCATCTTCACTGAGGAATCAGTGTCTGTCTCTAATACTTCTTTCTGTGAAATCCTGACCTGAAGTCTCCTCTATCATCCCAAATATTTAAAAAAGATTAAAGGTGAGGCACGGGTTTCTCTGGCCTGCTTTGGTAAATTTATGTGCTCACATAACTCATTAATTGTTTAGGTTTAATTCAAGACAAATACTTGCACGTTTATATTTGACACTAGTATTTGCCAAATCCCAAAACTGATCTGAACCCTAAACAAACCATCTTCTTGGCATCTCCTGCAAATAACACACATAGCAAATATATTGACATCAGTTGTACTTTAAAATGTCAACTCTGCTTTTCCTTTTCTCATGATGCTACTAAAAGATTTTATTTAAAAACCCTAAAATTGGGAATGAATGCCAAATTCCTCTCTTACCATTCAGTAGGTCTTTTCCTGTTTTAAGTGTGGACTATGGATTATTTCATTTGACCTTCTTGCTGTTTACACAGTTATAATATGTGAAAATACAAAATTTAGGCAGTTTCCATTATGCTATGGGAAAGTAAAACTTTATTTTTTAAGAGAATCTGTAAATATGTACATTATCGGAGCTGCCACAACCAGAATTATCTTTACTGTTAATTAATTAATCAAAAATATGGTGGACATTATTGACAGTAAGCCCTGAAGCAACAATTTTGGAATGACCTAAAAGAATTGCTAGACGTGTCATTCAAAGTTCAATAAAAATGCCTTATAGGAAATTTTCTTTTGGACTAACATGTCGTGATGGAGTTGAACAAGCAGTAGATTAACATTGGAACACCAGTTTTAAATTACAGTGTTGTGTGATATTAATAGAGTGATTGTAATTAAGGAACTAGTCCTCCTTTGATCTTGTTTGCCTCATCTGTAAAATTATCTACTCTTACTATCACCATCACTAATGATAAAAACATTTAAAATATTGCTACTTGTGCTAGGCAGAATCATGGCCTCAAAGATGTCTATGACTTAGTCTCTGGAACCTGTAACTGTGTTAGCTCACGTGGTAAAAGGGACTTTTCAGATGTGATTAAATTAAAAATCTTGACATGGGGAGATTATCCCGGATTGCCTGGGAGAATGGGCATTGTAATCACTTGGGTTCTTATGAGTGAAAGAGGGAGGGAGGGAGGGGATATGAGAATAGAAGCAGAGTCCGAGTGATGCAGCCTAAGAAACACCTCAGTGTATATTGCTGCCTGGCTTCGAAGGTGGAAGGGACCACGAGCTAAGGAATGGAGGTGTCCTCTAGAAGCTGGAAGAGGCAAGGACACAGATTCTCCCCTAGAGCCTCCGGAAGGAAGGCACACCTGCCAACACCTTGATTTTAGTCCAGTGAGACCTATTGTGGACTTCTGACTTCTGACAGTGTAGTACAATGAATTTCTGTTGTTTTAAGCCACTAAGTTTGTTGTAATTTGTTGTCGCAGTAATAAGAAACGAATACACCATTTCATTAGACTACTGTAATGATTCCAAAACTTAATAGATTATGATAAAGTGCTTTGTAAACTGAAGTACTATAGAAATGTTAATTATTATTGACAAAATTAAAGTGGGTTCTAACAACTCTAATTAGAAGGATGAGGTCTGTTTCAAATAAAATTTAGATTAGAGATGGGCTAGTGAGTCTTTGCCATTTTCATAAACTTTAACAAGGATTCCCCCCAAAGTGAATTAACAGAACTATTAAAAGCAACCCCTCTGGGAACAATCTGAAATTAATTTTTCAGCTTTATCGCCAAACATTCTCTAAACCATAAATTAATAGGAAGCAGTAATTCTCCCCTGAGCAGAGCAACTGCTTAAGTTACAGGTCCACTGGTGTAGCACACAAGTGGCCTGAGGATAAATCCATCTTTGGTGGTGGAAAATTTTTAAGTCAAAGAAGAATACATTATATGTCATAGCCCACTGTAGTGTAATTCTAATGGTAAATTATTTTTCAATTTTGTAGCCTACAAATATATAAAGGAAGCATCTTCCAGCTCAAGAAAGAACTTTGTTCTCGCCTTCTCCCTTCTAATCTCAGTCACTAGTTGCTACCATTAATTAACCCTCATGAGAAAAACCTAATGACATTGTTTATTGGCAACAGACTATAATAATATTCCAATTGAAACAATAGGGATGACACCTTTTTAGCCAGTAGCTTCCTATTTTTTGTACCTGAAAACTATTTTGTATTCAGGAACAATAATATTTAAAATTTAAATCAACTGATATATTTGTCATATATAAGCTATTTATATAGTTAGCATTGTGTAGAAAATTGGTTAATTGGCTAAAATCTTCACTGTTATTCCAGATATCTTGTTATCAAAAGGGACACTTCTGTATTCTCAAAATTATTAGTTTGTCCTTGCAGTGATTTTCAAAAGCATATCGATTGTTGAAATTAAAACTAATTTGTCTATTACAGACATGACCTTGGTTTCAAACAGATTCTGATAAATCTGGCCAGTCCAGCACAAATGGAAAAAAAAAAAAGGACATTGGAAAGAATACGGCTGAACTGAACATTGTAGGCACACCAAGTCTATAATTTCACTCTGGACCTTGAATGAAAGCATGTTTCATTTAAATTTATTCCTATACAAAATTATTTTAATCTAGCAATTACATAACAAAAGCCTCCAGGGGAAATTTGAGCCACTAGACTTCTGGTAGTTGTAGTCGTTTACAAAGACAGAGGAACCAAAATGATACTAGGGTGAACATGAAGTTCTGCCTCCAGGACTTAAAGGGTGCCAGGGGAATATGGATTTTATTTATAAGGAATTCTCTTTGGGCACAAATTTAAAACAGTTGGGTGTGGCATGCATGTTAGCAACCCAGTATGAACAGAAAATGAACAGAATTTTGGTTTGCTTTGGTGTCAGTATTTAGTTTTTTGGACTTTGTCCAATAAAACTAAATTTTTTTTTTTTTTTAACTCGTATCCTAAACTGCAACAGCTGTTGCAAAAAGTAAACTGGCACCTACATTTGACTTTCCAGTGGAAGTCCTTGGACACCTTTCTACAAGAACGCAGTCCCCTCTGACCATTGGATTCATCTTACTCTACCCTAGGGCGCCTAGGAGACTTCAGGCTTTCCTGTGCCCAGAGGGAGCATCCCTGCTTCCTAGGAGCAGCTTCCTTCACTGTGTGTGTAGCTGCCTTAGAACCAAGCTAAGCACAGGAATGCCTCTGCAGCGGCAGCCTTGCATGGCACCAGGGAATGTTGCTTTGTTTATTCAGACTCCATTTCCTAAATTCTTTTTTTTCTTTCTTTTTTTTTTTTTGAGGGTCTCAGCACAAGCTCAGTCAAGGCTTACTACAGCCTCAAACTCCTGGGCTCAAGCAATCCCCCTGCCTCAGTCACCCAAGTAGCTGGAACTACAGGCATGTGCCACCCCACCCAGCTAATTTTTTATTTTTTATTTTTGTAGAGATGGGGTCTTTCTAGGTTGCCCAGGCTGATCTCAAGCTCCTGGGCTCAAGTGATCCTCCCATCTTGGCTCCCGGCGTGCTAGGATTACAGGCATGAGACACTGTGCCCAGGCCCAAATTCTATATTTCTCCCAGCTATTGTGAAGCCTCCGATATGGTCCGTTCTGATTCTGTTACCTTTCTCTTCCTTCTTAAGCCCCAGTAGGGACCTTGCCTCTCCAGTGTACCCGGCTTTTGAGGACCTTGTCTCCATGTTTCCATTGTTGATGGAAGGACCGTGGCAGGACTTTGCTTTCCAATGCCACTATTATGTCATCAGGCTAGCCCTAAACCCCACATGGTAAGACCCCTTATGTGAGAGTTTTACACCTACTTGATCTTATTCCTCTTTCCAGGTGAGCACTGCACACTGACCCAACTAGGCTCAGGGTAAGGTAGCTCTTGCTCATTTTGGCCAGGTATTTAATTATGTGACATTCACAGTGTGCCTTTCTATTTATTTTTTTATCCTTTTCAGTTCAAGAAACATGGCTATACCAACTCGCCACAGTGCCCATCCCACTTTCTAGAAGACTTTGATATCTCACTCATAGAGCAACTCCTGCCAGGAGTTTATATTGTGTGCAGCTGATTCAGGCGGTAACTTCCACTCAGCAAGGGGGTCCATTTAAGAAAAATTACTTCTCTTCCTTTTATGCCCAGTATGGTTCTTAAAATCACCCAGACCTATCTTTCACCAGCACCACTTGGTTCTTTTAAACCACAGTATTTCTGCTTCTTCTAGTTAGAAAGCTTTAATATGAGATTGAAGATACGATTTGCTTTCTGGATTGTTGTATGCTACTAGAACCGAAGAAAGAGAAGGAAAAATGGATGAATCGATGGACCATATCACCCTGGCACCTATATCAGCTCAAAAACGGAAGGAAATACCCCTTTCCTGCCCTCTCTTTGACTAATGCTATAGACTGTGAGTCAGTAGTTCCTCCTGGGACCTGAGAGTCCACATTCCTAATGAGCTCCAGGTGTTCCCATGCGGCTGCCCCTCTGACCACACTTAGAATTGGAAGGCTTGAAATGAAATCTGAGAAATCAGTCTCTTGATTCCAATTTTAAACACGCAATTGATTCTTGTAATTTTTCATTCTTGTCGAAATGCATACCAGTAAGTTTGTAATCAGTATTGGCATGCTTAAAAGAATTTAAGACTTGCTATATTTGTCATTTTAATGTATTTAAACTTTAAAGATTTGTTCAGAACTTGGAAAGATTTTGCTTGTTAAGCTCATAAATTTACCCACTCAGGCATATGAGATAGGGTACTTTGATTTATAAATGAAGTTTAAAATTAAAGGAATTTAATTAACTAAGTTTTTAAAATGAGATTGGTTGTTTTAAGGGGAATTTACTTTGTGTAACTTGAGTTGATCAAACACTAATCCAAGTTCCCTGCAAAACCTGTTCTGTTTTATATAACATTTACTCATTTTAGAAATAGATGAGAAGATTTGCAAATTGAACCTAAAGACTTAAGGCAAATTAGGTACCTTTTTATACTTTAATAAAGAAAAATAAAATAAGTTTAAAACACAAATAACTCTAACTGGCCCTTTTTATGTAAAAAGAAGTACTTGAATAAAATTTACCTTGACAACACTAGCAATTCTGCAATTCTGACTCGTGTCTTTGAAAATGTCTTATTTCTTCTGCATTGCCCGGCTTCCTCTCTTGATTGTTCTGCTGGGTGGGGGGTGGGGAGATTGGAGGGGCGGGGAGCACACATCTGGGAATACTTTTCTACCTCATTCAGGGCATCTAGCTCACTCCTTAGTGGGTGGGTTTCCTAATGGATTCCTGGGGCTTCTGCACAGTCTCTTTCTACTGGTATATCTGAATTCCTCCCC